TAGACCAGTTGCTATCCAAGGTTACAGAACCTGGTTTTTCCTGCTATTTACCCGTAGTTGAGGGGGGGCGAAGAAGAGGATTTATACCTTTCCGAAGGGTATTAGCGCGTAAGCATACAGCTATGCGCTATGTGTAATACACGCTTAAGCGATCCTGTATCTTTCGATACATGACTGACGAGGCAGATTTTTTACCCTAGTAGATTTCTTGCTGCGGTAGACCAGTTGCTATCCAAGGCTATAGAACCCGGTTAGTCCTGCTCTTTAACCATAGCTGGGGGAGAAGAATAGGGTTCATACATTTTCCAAGGATATTAGCACGTAAGTGAATTTCACTCTTATGTGCCATGCTTGAGACACGCTTAAGCGATCATGTATCTTTCGATACATGGCTGACGAGGCAGAATTTTTACCCTTTGCTGCTGTAGACCAGTTGCTATCCAAGGCTATAGAACCCGGTTTATCCTGCTATTTTCCCATAGCTGGGTGGAGAAGAAGAGGATTCATACCTTTCCCAAGCGTATTAGCGCGTACTAAGCGGATATAATGGATTCGAATGGAATTCGAACTCGGTTCTCCGATTACTCAATCCGAGCCGCTATCCATTACTCCACCGTGTCTAGGCTCTGGTATAAACCAACAACTGTTAGTTTTAGAAATTAAATATCCGAGCAAAAATCGTTACATCCACCAGCCCAAACTCTTCTAGAAACGTCTCCAAGAGCACACTCCATAAGGATATGTTTTCTATTTGTTGACCATAGATTATGGAGAAGGAAAAAAATCAGAACAGGTCTTTTTGTAATTGTTGTGGTAGGATCCACCTAATTTGCATAGTGGAGTACAGACCATATAAATATGGTTGATACCGGGAAGACGAGGGAAAGGAATCAAGAGATTCAATCCAGAGACTCTGCCCGACTGCGACTAAGTCAACACATTCTCCAGGAACGGTCTTCCCAAGAATATACAAAAGACTATATGTAAATATTGTGTACACTTTCTTGTTCCAATACATTTTGTTCTAAGTACATTTTGTGTTGTATTATTATTCCATGCATTAGTCAAATTTCAACAGTAGTCGTCATTATTCTTGTTGAAACGAAATGAAATTCGTGACTAGAATTAGAAAAAAATCTGAGGATCCCGGTATGTAGCCTTTTGATAACTTCTTTTCATTCATCACGATTTGCACATTTTTTTCTCCACTGAATCGAGCAACCCGAGTCTGTCTGCTTCACATCGACAGCAATCCATATTTGTTTCCCAAGTTACAAATATTGTTTTACCAATTCAAAGGCACTGTTAAAAGATGATCAGACCGTGGACGAGATTAGAGAAAAAATGACAGTATTTTTAGTTGGGCGATATGTGACGTTGTGGCGAGTTCAATACAGCGTTTCAATCAACTATTTTCCTGCTACCAAGTTGGCTTCTCATCTCCAAAGTTCTTACAACCCTATGGTAATGTTGCGAAAGCCTATAGAAGATAAGAATCGTCGCTGGTCAATAATAATAGAATAGTTTTTTCTTCAATTATCAATTTGTCTTGTATTTATAACATTTCAATTCATATTTTTTCAGTTAAATATCCCTAATATAGATTAAACACAAGCGCAAGTCACAAAGAAATGTTTTATAATAATAATAATAATAATAACAACAACAAGAACTAAATAGAAATGCAGGATCTGCGGAAAATATAATGAAACTGTATTATGTTTGGATGTCTGGGACTGGCAAAAAATGAATATACCCAGAGACATAACAAGGTAGGGACTTATGTGCACTGGAAGCTATACAAGAAGCACAAAATCGAAACCACTGAGAGATGGTGTGAGAACCAACCAGACACAGTTACATAAAATAAGGATGTAACTATCAATCCAAACTGACAGGGAAAATAAAAGACAACAGACCTGATATTATCATAAAAGACAAGAAATTCAGATAGTGTATGTTTATTGACATAGCAGCAACATCTGAGAGAAACACCTCCATGAAAATTATCGAAAAATTGTCCAAATACAAGGACCTGGAGATCGAGATTAACAGGATATGGGGAATGAAGACTGAGACTGTACCAATAGTAATCAGAGCTGTGGGCCTCGTGAGAAAAGGAATGGAGAATTTTATTAACAGTGTTCCAGGTAACATCAACATACAGGTTGCCCAAAAGATCGTCTTACTAGGAACATCTAATATAATAAGAAAAGTGCTATCAGTTAAATGATAATTCTTCTATAGGGCCTAAGGACCATAGTTTGGACCCAGCTTTACAGGATACAAAGGAAACATAACATACACAAATAATAATAATAATAATAATAATAATAATAATAATAATAAATTACAAAGGTTTCACAATCTATAAATGTATTTTCTAATTCTTAATATATATTAAGCCTGGAGCATCACTTTATTGCATAACGTAGTTCGTCGCTTATAAGACGCTCTGTTGCATTAGACGTACCTCCCCATAAAAAATGAAGGAAAAAAATTCTCCTTGTACTTCATAACCCTCCTCATTATCCCTAGTTTTACCCACTGAATATCCAAGAAGCACAAAATCGAAACCACTGAGAGATACTATGAGCACTAACCAGACAAAGTTACCAAAAATAATTATGTAACTATCCTCTGGGACATGGCGATTCAAACTGACAGGGAAATAAAAGACAACAGACCTGATATTATCATAAAAGACAAGAAATTCAGGAAGTGTATGATTATTGACATAGCAGTATCATTTAAGAGAAACACCTCCATGAAAATTATCGAAAATTGTCCAAATACAAGGACCTGGAGATCGAGATTAACAGGATGTGGAGAATGAAGACTGAGACTGTACCAATAGTAATCGGAGCACTGGGCCTCGTGAGAAAAGGAATGGAGAATTTTATTAACAGTGTTCCAGGTAACATCAACATCAGGTTGCCCAAAAGATCGTCTTACTAGGAGCATCTAATATAATAAGAAAAGTGCTATCAGTTAAATGACAATTCTTCTATACGGTTTAAAATTTGGACCCGGCTCTACATGATGCAAAGCAAGAAACATAACATACACAATAATAATAATAATAATAATAATAATAATAATAATAATAATGGCAGTTAATTTTCAACGCTGTAATTTGGTTTGGGGATATGTGAAGTTACTGTAACTTTATTATGAATTATTTCCTGAGCATAGACTGACCGCTCAACCCCAGTGTTGTTACAATGTTATGGTAATGTGGCAAAGTACTGAAGCTGAAAAACATGTCCTTCTTCTTCTTCTTCTTCTTCTTCATCTTCTTCTTCTTCTTCTTCTACCCTCCTTCTCCTAACCGCCGCCTCCTCCTCCTCCTTCTTTTTCTTCTTATTCTACCCTCCTTCTTCTAACCGCCGCCTCCTCCTCCTTCTTCTTCTTCTTCTTCTTCTTCTTCTTCTTCTTCTACCTCCTTCTCCCAACCTCGCCTCCTCCTTCTTTTTCTTCTTCTTCTACCCTCCTTCTTCTAACCTCTCCCTCCTTCTTCTTCTTCTTCTTCTTCTTCTTCTTCTTCTTCTACCCTCCTCATCTTAACCCCTCATCCTCCTTCTTTTATATATATATATATATATATATATATATATATATGTGTGTGTGTGTGTGTGTGTGTGTGTGTGTGTGTGTGTGTGTGTGTGTGTGTGTGTGTGTGTGTGTGCAAGCAAACACCCACAGTCTAGCCTGCCCATTTAACGCTTTCAAATATGTGTTGATAATATACGCAGGCATAGTTGAATCTTTACTTGCATATCTACGAGCCTATGTAGATAATTTCGAATGAGATTATAACCAAATACCTCAATCCATAATTATCGACCTGCCCCAATCCGGGAAATGCCAAAAAGATCGAATTTCTACACATTTTTTCCATTCCTAGCTTCCAAAACAAGAGTTGATCTTGTATGGGTTTTACACCCCCCCATCTGTTTAGCTTCCAAAATATCATCTGAAATGTTTATTTTCCGGCGCCATCAAATTCGTCCATTAATTACCCCGCCATATGTCCATGAGAACTGACAGAATTAGTGTAACTTTCTTGCACTTGGAGAAATCAGAACGATGACACATTGATGAAGATTTTTCTCCGACTAAGAGAACGAGTGGTCAACATTACAGTCATTTCTCCCTCTTGTGGTAGATCTAAGAAGAAAGAGTGCGGCTTTATGACTAAATCTGAAGAAGGGCTTTTGGTTGACATGCATTACCCAGTTGGTAAGGCGATATAGATGTAAGACAGGCTTCCAAAGATACACTATACAAATTCAACTCTTGACGGAAGTTAACACATTTCCACTGAATTACCAACCAAAGAATACCGACCAGGGTATTGTGATAAAAATCATCAGGATGGCATGCGATTCTTGATATTTTCGGATGATAAACTTTTCTGAAAATTTGTCAAAGTACAACGACCTTGAAATAGAAATCTCGAAAATGTGGCATATGGGAACATCAACAATACCTGTTGTAGTTGGAGCCCTAGGACTGGTTGGAAAAGATTGCAGTAGACTAATTGAAGGGATTCCTGGAAGTCCATGCCTCAAGGAGATACAAAAAATTGTTTAGACAAGTACAGCCCACACCTTACGAAGGGCTTTATCTATGTAATTTAATTCTTTTTTTTCTTTTTGTCAGTGGAAAGTGTCATGACGCCATTTCTAACCTAAGGTCCCTGGGTGGGACCTGGAAAGAAATGTGTAAACGCCAGAAATCAAAGAAAATAAAAAAAAATAATAATGATAATAATAATAATAATATGAAGAAAAAGAAGAAACAGAAAAAGTGGAATACGGAACTATATTTCCCAAGAAAGACATTTCAATTCTCAGATAATAAAAATAAGGAATTTGTGGAGAGCCGTGATCGTTTTTGTCGTGAAGGGAGAAAAACTGATTTGAATTCCAAATCTTAGAGAAGACAATGGAAAAGACTGGGGCTATATTTCCCAAGAAGGCATGACCATTCACAGATAATAAAGAAAAGGAATTTGTGGAGAGCCGTGATCGCTTTTCTCGTGGAGAGAGAAAAACTGATTTGAATTCCAAACCTTAGAGAAGACAATGGAAAAGACTGGGGCTATCTATCTTTCCCAAGAAGGCATGGCCATTCACAGGTAATAAAGAAAAGGAATTTGTGGATAGCCATGATCGCTTATAGTGTGAAGGGATATTATATTTAAAAAAAAAAGATAATTTTTTTGCTTGTTACAATATCTCCCCTTTCTAGACAAAATATATTTCTAAGTTTCCAAGTTAATCAGATTTAAATTGATTTTATTGGATATATTCACAAGTTAATATCTTTTTTTCTTTCTATGCAATGACAAATTCCTTTTCTTTATTATTTGTGAATTGTCATGTCTTCTAGGGAAGGATAGGCCCAGTGTTTTCCATTGTCTTCTCAAAGATTTGGAATTCAAATCAGTTTTTCTCCTTTCAGAACAAAAACAATCATGGCTGTCCACAAATTCCTTTTCTTTATTATCTGTGAATTGCTAACGTTTTGACAGAGGACTTTAAGTGTGACAGTGAGATCCGTAGATGTACTGGAATGGCCAAAGGGCACATTCTAAAAGCCAGGCAGAGTATTGGTAACAAAGCAAAGAATACTGAGCTGTTACGTGACATCTGTACTTCTTTACGGCAGCGAATGTTGGACGATTTCCTCAAAGATGAAGAAGAGACTCGAGGTGAGGGAGATGTGGTTCTACAGAAGGATGCTAAGGATATCATGGACCGAGCGTGTGAGCGACGATGAGGTTGCAAACAAGGAGAAGGCTTATACTTAACATTAGAAAGAGGCAGCTGAAGTTTCTGGGACACATAATGAGGAAGGAGGGCCTGGAGAATCTGATACTCACGGGTCGAATACAGAGAAAGAGAGACAAGGGAAAACAACGCGTTAAATAACTAGCGGGCTTAAGCAAGTGTATGACAGAATGTGGTCTGGGGGAGGAAGCTGAGGAAAGGAAATTGTTGAGAACTGCAAGGGATAGAGGGAGGTGAAGAGCCATGATCGCCTACGTCTTGAAAGGACATGGCACATAAAAAGAAAAAAAAAGAATCTCTCTGTAGAAAAGTCGATTGTGCTAAAGCTATTTGGAAGAAGCATATTGACAAGTAAACTTTTTTTTCGACATTGCATAGAAACAGGATGCAATAAAATGGCCGAAAACGCGAAATATATTGTAAATAGAACGACACATTTATAGTGCGTACATTTGGCCTCAAGTCGAAGTCTGAATTATCATTACAACTACATTCATTGATTTTTCCTCGCCTCCATTACAAAATTGCCAACAATTGCCAGTCGAGATTAAACTGCAAGTATTCCTGGACATTGATAAGACCATGCTGTGTTGTCATGGTACCGAATTACACACACACACATATATATATATATGTATATATATAAGTATATATATATATATATATATATATATAAGTGTGTATATATATATATATATATATATATATATATATATATATATATATATATATATATATATATATATATATATATATATATATATATATATATATATATATACACATATATATTAGCACTATTATCCAAGTAAAATTGAATTGATTTCTATGAGCAGCTGGTGTGTTTCGTATAAAGAAACAGGTTAACATTCCCTTCCTTATCCGCCGTGAGACGATGGACTAGACGTTAGAAGTCTGACTGCACTTCAAGCAATCGGGTTTCGATCTCGGCTTGAAGTCCCACCAAGTAGCTGTGATACTGCGAAACAGTCTGTGTGTGACAAAATGTGTATTGCGTTTTGGGGCAGCAAACTCTTTTTTATGCAAGTTTCTTTGTAAACAGCTGACATGGTGCCTGGATTGACTTTTTTTTTTATATAATTTCTCAAATTTTTTTTCTCTTTTGAGGACATTAATTCTATAAAAATAGTCGAAATGTTTACTTTAAGTCATTATTAAAGATAGATTTTCTACTTTTAGGTGAGGATATGGAATGTATTATGTATGTATCTAGAGTTCAATTCCTGTCGGTGGACGCATATTTTCTACGAAATTTCTCGAAAATTCAGACAGATAAATGTACATAATTTTGTTTAATTAAAAAAAAAAAGCAACACAGCATTTACTCAGATAAGTGTATCCATAAAAAATCGAATAAATAGAAAACATATTAAAATGTTTGTCGGATTTAATAAATTTCATATAATATATATATATTATAAATTAACTGATTTAAAATATACTTTCTTCGCTACACAGGAATTACCATGTTTCAAAAACCGAAGTTAAAAACTACAAATTTAATTATAAAATTAAATATATATATATATATATATATATATATATATATATATATATATATATATATGTCAATGTGTGTATGTCTGTGTATGTTTGTGTGCAAAGTGATAACGCACTGAGATAAATAATTGTGAATAATAGATAGATACGAACAGAATGATAGATAGATACATAGATAGATAGATATGAACAGTTTGCAACAGACAGACAGATAGATAGATAGATAGATAGATAGAAAGAGAATGAGATAGATAGATACGAAGTGAATGAGATAGATACGAAGAGAATGAGATAGATAGATAGATAGATAGATAGATAGATAGATAGATAGATATGAACAGAATGTGATAGATAGATAAATAGATAACATACTAATGTAGAGATACAGATAATTAACACATTGGTACATATATATATATATATATATATATATATATATATATAGAGAGAGAGAGAGAGAGAGAGATAAGTAGATAGATAGATAGATAGATAGATAGATAGATAGATAGATAGATAACACTAATATAGAGATACAGCTAATTAACACACTGATTGATTGATGAATAGATAGATATTGAACTGCCTTCGATAGGAAAATAGATCGATCGACAGATAGATACGGACAGACAGATAGAAAGATAGATACGGACAGACAGATAGAAAGATAGATACGAACAGAATGATAGATAGATAGATAGATAGATAGATAGATAGATAGATAGATATGAGTAGACATAGATAGATAGATAGATAGATAGATAGATAGATAGGTGAAAACGGAATCAGGTAGTTTGATAAAATATACTACGCAATTGAGAATTTCTCCTTTGAACGCAGTGTTCAGCCATTGATTTTAAAAAAGTACCTCATGCGGAAAGATTTTTTCGTTTTTTTTTTTAAACATCCGATTAGCAGGGGTAGACAGAATATCTGAATGTTTCTATCGACCATTCGGATAGTTGGAAACATACCTTGAAAAAAAAAAAAAAGACACGTTTTCTGTCTCCCTGCCAAATCGATGACCGATATTTCGATTGCAGTGAATCGATAAATTCCCTCGCAAATCAAAAGTCCGTAGTATGTATTCGCGCCTTTCCTAACCGCGATCAAAAAGCATAAAGACGCCCTTCAGTCAACGCAGTCGCATTGCAAAGAAAGAATCAGTTCGCGTGAAGCTTTTATTCAGAACAAATAACGACACAAACCGTACGCTTCATTAAATTCCCAAGTGTGACATGCTAGCAGCCTTCCTTCAAGGCCAAACGAACTGACGATCGTTTTGGATATCAATTGTACCTTTTCGGCAATGACCGTCTTTCTTTGCAAGTATCACAAAGCAGGTAACACGGGAATTGATTTTAGTAGGTTTTGCTCGATTGTTAAAAGTCCCTCCCACGCCGGCTGCATGAGAACGTGGAATTGCCGATGGGTCTGTGCTCGCAAGCTTCTCAGTTGGTGAAGGCAAAACGCCGACGTGAGTGTAGCTTACCGCTTTTAGATGTGGAACTTGCAAATCGGCAGACGGTGTTCAAGTCCCGGTTTAGCCAGTTGCTTCAATTTCACACTTGTGTCCTTGGGAGAAGTAAGGATCTTTTCCTTCTACCCATCCAAAGCTACGACTTGAATGCGAAAATTCATTGTAAAGCATTTTACTATGGAAACGCATTACCAACGATTGTATTATGAAATGGATTACAAACGATTTTATTATGAAAATGCATTGCAAATGATTTTATTATGAAAATGCATTGCAAATGATTTTACAAAAAAATTGCATTGCAAATGATTTTACTATAAAATTGCATTGCAAATGATTTTACTATGAAATTGTATGGCAAATGATTTTACAACGAAAATGCATTAAAAAGGATTTTATTATGAAAATGCATTGCAAATGATTTTAGTATAAAATTGAATGGCAAATGATTTTAGTATGAAATTGCATTACAAATGATTTTATTAGGAAAATCCATTGCAAATGATTTTACAACGAAAATGCATTACAAATGATTTTACTATGAAATTGCATTGCAAATGATTTTACAACGAAAATGCATTACAAATGATTTTATTATGAAAATGCATTGCAAATAATTTTGCTCTAAAACTGCATTGCAAATGATTTTATTAAGAAAATCCATTGCAAATGATTTTATTATGAAAATGCATTACAAATTATTTTACTATAAAATTGCATTGCAAATGATTTTACTATGATATTGTATTAAAAAAGTTGGTTACTATTAAAATGTATTGCTATTAGGAATCCATTTCAATTTAGTTTATGGGAAAGCATTGCCTATGATTTTACAATGGAAAAGCAATGCCAATTAATTCTTTATATTAATGCAATCTAAAAGAATTTATTGTTAAAATTCATTACGATTGATTTTACTATTAAAATGCATTTCAATTTATTTTACTATAAATATTCATTGTAAATGATGGTAGTTTTAAAATGTATTGTAAATGATTTTACTATGAAAATGGATTTCAATTTAGTTTTCTATGCAAATGCTTTGTAAATAATTTTACCCTGGATATCAAATTCAATTTAGTTTACTATGAAAATGCATTAAAAATATTTTTCCCTGGGAAAATGCGATTCCGTTCATTTTACTATAGATCGCATTGCAAATGACTTTACAATTAAAATCTATTGCAGTTGATTTTAATATAACAAAGCATTTTACTTCTGAAATCCATTGAAAATGATTTTACTATGGAATTGCATTGCAACTGATATTACAATGAAAATGCATTGTATATGATTTTACTATTAAAATCTATGGCGAATGTTTTTACTACTGAAATAGATTGCAAAATATTTCACTAGTATTATCCATTGCCAATTAGTTATACTATGGTAATACAATATCTGTTTATATTTCTGAAATTAGGTATTGTAATTATTTACATTGTTCTGACTGTTATCCTCATCTTCAGTGCCATATTCACGACGTTTCGGCTGTTTTACGGCCTTCTAAAGTTGATTAGAATTTCCAACTGAACCCTTTATTTAAAGATAGATTATTCTAGTTCCACTGCCATGCCTCTTTCAGATGTCTCAGTTTTCTTCATTTCACTCAACTTTCCAAGTTTTTGATCCACACTCCATTAGCCAGGTATTGAACCCACAACTCTTTGGGTCAAGTCACTTGATCCAACAAACGCTTGAAATTATTAGAAAAGTCAGTACATAAACTTTCTGAATAGAGAAAATAAGATTAGGGAAACACCTAATGTTTTTATATATTCATTTTTTTTTATTTACATGTGGGTCTTGAGAGAAAAATGTTTTACTTTAACCTGTTTCTCTTTCAGTTTTTTCAAAAGGTTTTTAAATGTTTATATCCCCACGTGTTGACGCTTATATCTTGAACAAATGAAAAAATCAAGGGGCGTAACTGGTTTTATATGTCACTTATGGCAAGGAAAATATGATAGAATCTATTTTGAGGGACATGCCTCTAGTTTATTTAATGTATTGAGTTTCGGTTTAAATCGCTATTTCTCTATTAATACGTTTTTGTTCGATGATTTTGTAGCCGCATTATAGAATAGAAAGCTATTAAAGTTTGGTAGATTCCGTTCTCCGCACTCCACTATATGTTGGCTAAGGGGTACTTTTCTTGTGTGGGAATCCCTAATTTGTTGGTGATGAACTGACATCTTTTGTCGGACTGTCCGTGATATTAATATTAGTTTTTAAGCCTTTTTATTATATCCTTACTCTATCCTGGACATTGAGTTCCACCTGGATTCTATCCTCTTGGAATTTTTTTTATACAAATATATATGTATGTATGTATGTATGTATGTATGTATGTATGTATGTATGTATATTTATATATTTTAGATATATGATTGCATATGTATGTGTATACTTACCACTAATATTATATATATATATATATATATATATATATATATATATATATATATATATATATATATATATATATATATATATATATGTGTGTGTGTGTGTGTGTGTGCGTTTCAATCCTTTTTCTCTTTATATAAATATATATATATATATGTGAGTGTGTGTCATGTATATATGTATGTATTGCTGGCTGCTCATATTCGAGAATATCCCTATTGCAGACGCTAGCTCAGGCGCATTTGTGTTTAACCCACTTAGCCCGCCTGTGGTTTATACTGTAATTATGCTGAGAAGACCTCACCTACAGTTTCTGGAAAGGAGAGTGTTATATAACGTTATCAACACTCGGTCACGATGACTTGTGGCTTCGTGCTAGCACAGCTATCGACGGCCCCCAAGTGTCCCGTCTACCCAATTTTACTCATAAGGCTTGGGTCAAGCCGTGGTATGGTTTTCCTGCACTTTTCTAAGATGCCGCACGTTGGGAACGCCCCATCTAGTCCGATGACATATGACAAATCGACCTTGGTGAGATTCGAAGCCGGGTCTCATGGCTAGAATGCGAACGTTCTATTCACTCGGCCACGTGCGTGTATGTATGTAGAGATAGATAGATAGATAGATAGATAGATAGATAGATAGATAGATAGATAGATAGAGCAAAAGAGAAAGAGAAGGAAAAGAAAAATGTAGAGAAAGACAGAAAGTATAAATTTTCAGTTTAGCTTAAACAGGATAATCCTTTATGTTTCTGAGTCTCGTGTAGACCGGAGTAATTTTAAAACTAGTTTAAATCTGATCCTTTTTCAACTTATAATTCATTATCAATTTTCTCTTACCTGCGTCTTTCAAAATGTTTTAAGCCTCACCCGGAAAAGAAGCGCGAAAGTTGGACATTTTTGTTGTGGCAACTCACTATAAAACTAGGAAAATTAATTCAAATTTACGTCTTAATCTATGTGTAGATGAGGTCTGTCTAAAGTTAAGAGGTATTCGGCAAACCTAAAAATGGACATAACAGATGCCCGAGCAGTCATAAATTATCTGAAAAATAAAGGTATAACACCCAAGGAAATCCCTAAGGACATCCTACAAACACTTTGCTATTCAACTCTGACGAATTTGACTGCGGAATTTAAGCGGATCACAGACAACACAGATGACTCTCGGCAGGTCGTACAAAAATCTAAAAACATTTATAAACAATTAATTGGCATTCACCGAATGATTTTGGATGGCAGGCCTCATACTGTCCAGGACATAAGTAAATCCACGTGATATTAGTTATGGTTGGGTCCATACTGTTTTAAGTGTGATCTTGGGAATGAGCAAGCTGTCTGCAAGATGGTTTCCAAGACCAGAAGCTGAAAAGAGTTGATATTTCCAGAACCATACTGACTCACTTTCCAGTTAGGATCGAACTCACTATTCAGTCCTAAATGATCTAGTGATAAAAGCTTGATAACTCGAAGTACCCTCGCCATGTCCCTATGAAGTTCTAAGTAGGTTCCATAAGTACATTTTGTCTGTGGGGGTCTGCGGACGAGAAAAAAAAACAAAAAAAAAAAACAATTTAAAAAAAAAAAACTAATCCTATTGCATATTGACAATGAAAAAAAAAATCCTATTTACAAAGTTAAACAAAATAGTGTGAGCAATATCGACCCAGCTCATCGCTCTCAGAAATTGTGGCAGAAACACCGTTTAATCAGACGAGTTTGAGCGGGACTGAATACAATAACTGAAAACTATCACCCTACCAAACACACACACACACATAAAACACCCCTACAGCAAATCCCACTGGCGGGCCGCTGGTGGCGACGCCAGTGGTCCTCTGGTGGCAGCCGCAGGCAGGTGTCTGGTGGGCCATCTGTGGGCCTCTAGCGGTCCACTCGTGGTAGCATTGCCGAGAGAAACACACCGGCGGTCCGACGGCGGGCCACTAGCGGTAAACGCTAATGGCATGCCACCCAGTGGCAGATTGGTGGCCTGCATGTAGGGACGCCCTCTTCTAAACGCAAAAACAAATAGGAAAGCATACACGAAAAAAAAAAAAAAAAAAAAAAAAAAAAAGAAAAAGGCACTCCGCATCCACTGAGAGAGCTGTCATTTCTGTCTCACTGGGGAAGGGAAAGCAAAATTAAACCCAATCAATTGGGGAGAAAAATAAAAGGACTGAAGAACTTTTATTTTTTATAGCATTACGTCCCAAGCAAGGCGTGAAAGCCACTACGATGCAGGGGGTTGCAGAAGATTTGGAGCGAGAGCAGATAGAAGTGATAGAAGAAAGGATGAGGAGAAGGATAGTGGGTAGATCAAGGTAACTGGAGATGTCGATCGACATTACATTTGAATAGTTGGAGATTATAGCTCTCAGGAAACAGTAATTGGGAAGGGAGTTCCACAGGCGAGAGGTGCGAGTTATGAAGCTATTGGAGTAGAAGAGACGGCTACATTTAAAAGTTTCAACAGTGAAAGGTTGAGAGCGGGATGCCAGCCTCGGAGGGCGCTTGAATTCATGAAGTCTGGGAACCAGTGAAAGCAGCTCATCGGAGTAATTACCATGAAAGTATTTGTAAAAAAGACAGCGAGAGGCGACGACACGTCTGTGAGAGAGTGACTGTAGACGAGACGCTAGATCAGGGCCAATTATATTACATATCCGTCTCTGGATCTTGTCAAGAACTCCGAGGTAAACAGAAGGTGCACTAGAACATATATGGCAGTAATACTCCATGCAAGGGCGAATGGTTGATTTGTATATTTGAAGTATCGATTCCGGGGAGAAAAATTTCCTGGCGCGGCACAGAGAGCCAAATTTCCTTGCGGTTGGACGATGCAATTGACTCAATGTATTTGTTCCATCTAAGGTCAGCAGTCAACATGTGACCGAGCAGACACAGAGAGTTGCTCTCAAGAAGTTGACTATCAGACATTCTAATGGGAGGCAGGGAAGGATCTCTATGGTGATTAATAGAGAGTAGTTTAGTTTTTGAGGCGTTAAAGTTGACCAGCCAATTCTTGCCCCAATTAACAACCGATTGGAGGTCCATTTCAAGAGGAGCGGCCAGGTTAGTTTTGTCAGCGGCACTACGTTAACTTCGACGGAAGAAACTAAGGAAAACAAAGAAACAATCCCTAGAGTACACTAATTTTGGACCCGTTCAGAGATCTTAGTATCCGGATGCCTAACCGACATCGAAACCTCCCAACCTGGGAGCAGAGCTCATGAGAACAAATGCCGTGAAAATATTTACAGAAAAAAAAAAAACCCAGAAAGAAGCCACGTCAGGGCGGCGGGGAAGTGACTGAAGTCGAGATGCCAGGTCCGGACCGATAAGATCACAGAACCTTCTTTGGATTTTGTGGAGGATCTCGAGATATATAGCCGAAGCACCAGACAACATATGCTAGCAGTATTCAGTATTGAATGAGTGGTAGGCGTATAAATATACAAGGTGGGACGAAAAAATTGTCTGGTACGGTACAGTGCTCGACCTATACACGTGTACAGACGGTGACACGTCTGATGAGAAAGGTTGAAAGAAATAGAATAAACCGTCGAATAAATACGAATAATTTCTTCTGAAGGCAAACGATTCAGACGTCAAATACGCAATGACAGTGACGACGAGGAAGTAACATCTGTCCAATGCTTTAAAACCTTGACTGATATAAGTTATTCTGAAAATAACGTGATTTTTGGTCAGAATCGGCAGCAGCTGACCAAGAACTAATAGCCAGACACGAAAGAAATGGAAATGCTTTGCCAAAAAAAAAAAAAATCATAAGAAAAAGACGGGAGGAATTACCTTCTTTGCATGCAACGAAGCGAAAATCGTCACAGAACAACTTGTAAAAATGATTTCTTTTGTCTCGTTGTCAAATGCTGTCCACTGCTTATTTTAAGCAAATTTCAAGAAGATTATCTATCTATCTATCTATCTATCTATCTATCTATCTATCTATCTATTCCTGTCTGTTTATATCTATCTATCTATCTATCTATCTATCTATCTATCTATCTATCTATCTGTATGTTTCAGTTTATTCATTATTTAACAATCTATTGCAGTCTATTAAATATCTATCTATCTATCTATCTATCTATCTATCTATCTATCTATCTATCTCAGTCTTTTCATATCTATATTTCTATGAAAAATTTCTCAGAGATAACCTGTAGAAAAAGACAATGTTTATAAATGTAAAAGAAAAACAATAGAAAACTAATATTACCCGACAATTTTCGTCCAGTTCCTTGAAAATGCCATTGGACGAAACGTGGTGGCTAATATTACAGTTTTCCTATCTATCTATCTATCTATCTATCTATCTATCTATCTATCTATCTATCTATCTATCTATCTCAGTCTTTTCATATCTATATTTCTATGAAAAATTTCTCAGAGATAACCTGTAGAAAAAGACGATGTTTATAAATGTAAAAAAAAAAAAAACAATAGAAAAAAAAACTAATATTACCCGTCGAATTTTGTCCAGTTTCTTGAAAATGCCATTGGACGAAACGTGTTGGCTAATATTACAGTTTTCCTATCTATCTATCTATCTATCTATCTATCTATCTATGTCAGTATTTTCATATCTATCTATCTATCTATCTATCTATCTTCATGAAAATCTACGGAAATATATCTTTTAAGTTGTTTTCAATGTTTTCATTTTAAAGTCGTAATTTTCGGACACGCCTCTTTCCTTTTTACGAGACAAAAAATAAACAAAGAAGTGGGACTCTTCTGGGGAATGTTGTTTTGATTGGTTAGACGGCTCCCTGCCGTAACTACATTCTCTGAATAAACACAAATCCCTGTTTAATCTTTGTACATGTGATTCTATTTTGAAGATTCCTACTTTATATATATATATATATATATATATATATATATATATATATATATAAGTGTGGATATAAACTAAAGCAAATAAATATTTATTAACTTTAATTTATGGTGCAAGCAAAACAGTCTTAATGTATTTAAATAGAGCTATGAAGTATATATTAATAAATACACATATACCTATGTTAGTAGTGCAGCTTAAAGTTTCATGGTCTCCCAAGTCGTCAGGCACGTATGACAAAAGGGTCGCTTGTTGCAGTTGTTTTTTTGTTTTTTTTTTTTTTAATATTTGGTCTCATGGAATGAACGGTAAATTATACGCAGATTCAAAGCTCGAAACTGATATAAACCCAATATTTTTTGGGGTGCAAGTTCAAAATATAAAGTGTACAAAGGGAGATATTGAGGAAAGCAAAACAAAATTAAAGGAGAATGATATAAAGTTTATATGGTACATGTTTTTTAACCTGGGAAAAAGCAAGATTTAAGTTTTATATATATATATATATATATATATATATAATAATAATAATATTTTTTGTTTAAAAATATGATTCCTTCGCTACATAAGAGTTTTCATGTTTCAAAAACGAGAGCCGAAACCATCCAAATAATTATTAAAATTCAGTTGAATTGAGATGTTTAGTCCCGTTTCATCTTCAAGCGAAATTTTAGGAATAAGCTATCTCTTGGTTTACGTGTGTTTTTAGGCATGGTCCGTTAAAAAATTCGTTATTGTGGGAGTGGCTAGACTATTTTTCTTCGTTAAGTGGTCAGAGAGTTAATTCTTATCAACAGATTCATCATCTTCAGAGAGGTTTTGCTAAAACGAAGAAAAATAGTCTACCCAGTGAGCGAAATAAAGGGTTCGGTTCGACATTCCAACCACCTGAAGAAGGCCGGAGCGTACAACGGCCGAAACGCTGTGATAGATATGGCGAAAAAGATGAGGACAATAGTCCGAATAATGTAAATAAGAGTTCTCATGTTTCAAAACAAGAGCCGAAACTTCAATATAATTATTTGAATTAAATTAAAGTAACAAGCTCTGTTCCATCTTCAAGCGAAATTTTTTTGGGAATAACTAATTCCTGAAATTTACGCGTTTTATAAGCATATTCATTATTAAAATTAAAATTACTATGGTAACGGCTAGAGCAATTATTTAAAAAAGGGCGTAAAGGTTATATATATATAAAGGTAACTTTCATTAAAGACGTCTCATAAGGAACTGCGATTAAGCTTTTTATTCAATTCATCTTGTATTCGTATAAGGGATTTCGTGTATCTGGACCATAGTTGATGTCTTTGTTTCTTTTTTGAAATCATTTACCAAACACGGTGAGCATATTGTAGCCGTGTTCATAGTTAATATCTTTGAGTGTTAGCTTTTTTTTCCTGTTTTCACATGAAGATCTGCTGTTGTTCTT